ATTCAATGTTCCTATTCATGTCCCCTCAGTCTTAATACTCACCATATAGGGATGCCCGAATCAGACTGTATCCCCTGGAGTCCCTGGAGTGAACCGCAACCAGCCATGCAAATAATATACACTGCAGGATCTGCTCGTTGTTATCGTGACTGCTGGCCTAGCTTGATGGGCACAAACACACTTGCATATTCTTCATTCCGATCATTTCTATCATCATTACTACTGCAACTCTTACTCTTACCTCTTACCTCTTACTCTTACTATCTACCAGTACTAGCATTACTACCATTATTCCGAAGCCATACTCCTATCCTGGCGCAGGCACCGGTCGCATATCCAGCATTTCTCGGCCCGGAAGGAAATGGTCTCCAGGTTGCTCCTGGTGGGCCCATATGGGGGTTTCCCAAAATTGGGGGGGCTACCCTTTTTGGGTCCCCATAATAAGGATTATAATATATTTGGATCTATATTGGGGTCCCCTTATTTTGGGAAACTACCATATAAGCTAAAGTCTAACCATATGAGCTGTAGTCTCCCCCTGGATAACTCTATAGGGTTTAGGGTTTAGGGTGGTCTAAACTCCTTGTATCCCCGTTTATAACCCTACAGGGTTTAGGGTTGAGGTTTCAACTCTTAGTATCCCCCTTGATAACCCCGATACTGCTCCCCTATATAATCCCCTATGCAACCCCCACGTATCTGATATGGTAGTTTCCCAAAATAGGGGGACCCCAATATAGACCCAAAATACTACAATCCTTCTTATAGGGACCCCCAAAAGGGTACCCCTAATTTCGGGAAGCCCAAATCCCCATAAACACCTATATTAACCAAGTTTCCATTTCATTTTCCATTTTCTTTTCCATTTGATTCTCCATTATTGTGGGTGATATACCCTAACTTGGGAAAGTCCCATATAGAAACTGTCGCAAGTATCACGGCTCTGGAGGGGAGGTGAAGGTTGGTGGGATAGCAGCCATGGTTTGGAATTTCAGGGTTTAGGGTTTAGGATTTAGGGTTTAGGGTTTAGGGTTTAGGGTAGGTATCATAGTTATGGTCCGGATTTCTTTGGTAGGAATGTGGTTTTTCAATTCTGCGCACAGAAGCCCTCCTGAGTCATCATTCCGGGCTCAGGTTTAGAAGGCTGGACTTAAGGGCCTTGGACGTCTTCCTACTGAATCCTATGTGAGACTCCTCAGAGACTTAACTCCTAGAACCAACAAGCCAACTGCATGCATCCATTGCCCCAAACATACCGCGAACTGACACCCAACCCAACCCATGGACCCTCTTTCCAGTAGGCGAGCGATGGTGCTGCCCAGGTACGATTCGAACGACTTGGCCAGCGGCATGGTAAAGTGGCTGTCCTCTTGGAGCTTCAGGTTCTCTACTTTCGGTTTTGAGGGCGTGAGTCAAAAAACAGCGGCCCCCTTTATGAGGTATGAGGTATACGTCAGAGAGGCCTTTGCCCTTGATACATAGGACACGCACGGCCAACAATCAACCACCCACAGGAGAGAGGCTAAACGCAAACCTTATCTTTCAAGAGGGGGCGACGTGATGAGTGGCTGACATCATGCATCAACGCACAGGCAGTGGCCTCCCATTCCTCCCAAGGAGTGGAGGAACTGCTGCTGATGCTTAAAGCCTGCCTGGCATGCATGGAAGTAACATCGAATCCGAGTGTGAACGACTTACGTTAGGTGCCATCTGGTCATAGTCAGACTGCAGCTCGCCAGTCTTCAAACATAAAAAACTACCTCAGCTTTCAGAACCGCGCTTAGGACAAGCTCGCATGGCGCATGAAGACGAAACTGCGCCTATGCTTCTCAACCGGGTATTTCCGCGGCCTGCAAGCACATGACATAAATTCGACGAAAGTCCACCATTATGCACATGGCAGATCATCCTAAGACATGGACTGAATCAGCATTTCAGCGATTCAGCAGCCACTTGGCTTTGCAGACTTGGTATTGCACAAGAACCAACGTGGCGGCAGCCCAACCAGCCCAGAATCCCAGCACTGGCACATGCAACACGCCTACTTTGCGGAAGAAGGAAAAATTGCCGTAAGCGTGAGGATCAAGGAAGTTCGCCAATCCCTTCGTACCCTGAATCCCTTAACCTGCTTCTCAAAGCCTCCGCGGCCGCTCGCGCGGTTGGCTGGGTGGAGGGTGTGGAACGCCCCGGCGGCCTGCTCATGGGGATTTGTTACTGGAATTCGCCCCTGCCCAGAACGAACAAAAAAGATGCAATATACTGAAGCCCCCCCCACCCACCCGGAAAGTCATGTCCTGTGAGCTCAGATGCCAAGCCAAACGCACGAGCCGTTATGATAGCGTCACTAGGGATTCCTCATACTCAAACCCCTGCTTAGAACTACCCATGAACCAGATGGCGAGCTTGGGTGGGGGAATAGAAGCAATGACAACATACACATGATGATTGAAAGATACTGGCCTCCATACAGATTCCATGTGAACGTTATAAGCATTTTGCGCCGGAAAAGGCACAAGTTGAAGTAGAACAATGGCGTCCCGGGCGTACAACAATGCCGCTGCACTTGGGCACCAAAAAAATGGCCCCTTCTTTAGTTAGGATAACATCCTAATCTTTTGTCACGCAAGGCAACATTGATTTTGAGGAATACCTAGTTGAATTCTCAGATGGAGCTTGGCCCCAGACCATCCCAGCAGACGCGTGTGCCTATCGGCGCACAAGAGACGAACATGCACCAGGGTTTAGGGCTTCAGGTTTGACATAAGAAAGGGTTTAGTCATTTGGTGGGGTGTTGTAGGAACTCTAAGGCTGCTACGCATGTGACGTGCAAATACTGCGGCAGCAGTCAGACCAGGCCAAGAATGGGCTTAGGGCTTGTCTAGGGATCATCTTCAGCAACTCCCAGATGAGAATACACAAGCGAATCAGCCTCCGGCTTCGTTCACAGGGAAGCTGGCGTGCTGCACCTCCCTCCCAAAGAGCTGTGATGCGACCTGCATTTGCTATTCGCTGGCAGTTATGCTTAAGCCAGGAGTGCTTGGATCTAGGATTTCATGTGGCTTCAGGCTGTGAAGTAGGATGTGGGATTTGGGGGTAAGGGCTTGCTAAACTAGAAACAGATGCTGTGAACTGCTTCAAGGAAGGACTCGCATTCCTTTAGTTTTTAATCAGCAAACATCTCTGTGGGAAACTGTCTTGGACTAGAGAAGGAGCCTCAAATCCTAAACCCTAAACCAGTACTCCTGACGCCTCTTCGGCAGTCCAGGTACCCTCGGTTTCCTCTTGCGCCGCAGCTGGCAGGTGCTCCTTGCATTAGCAGTATCTGGCGTGGTGCTTTCAGAAGATTATATAGGGCTTATATAAGGATTATATAGGGGTTATATAGGGGTTATATGGGGATTATATAGGGATTATTATGGGGATTATATCGGGGATTTGTAGAGGATTGTGCCAGGGCCATGAAGGATTCTTAGGGGACTCTGTATGGAGGTTGAGGGATTTATAGTGTTTCCGGGTGTTTCCACATTTGGAGATCTTGGCCTGGAGCTGACTTGCTGTCATGCTCTCTGCGTCTTGGACCAGCTGCCCTGCACAGTGAGCCACCCTCCACCTCGCCTCGTTTTCTTTTAAACCTACCTGTCCATTTTCTTGGGTGAATGGCTTGCTGAAACCAGAGCAAAAAGGCTGGCACTGAAGAAGGCACCATCAAGGAGAATAGCCTATTGATAGTAAAACTCATACTGTATGTTCCTGTTACACTGTAAAGGGATGCTGAAGAAGAGGAATTCCAACTACATATCCTACAGAACCTACCAGCCGTAGAAAGACCCGCCACACAATCAAACTTTCAATCTCCGAAGCAGGATGAAAGCTGATACGCCTGCAAGTCTTTCAGGTTGATCCCGTTGAGCCGCATCCGACAAGGGTCCTGTCCCACGATTTGAGTTTCTGAACGAACTGCAGTTTGCCCATTTGCCCATCTGTTATCTGAGCTTCTGGTCTTTTATCTGCAGTCAAGATGTCAGGATTGCATTTAGGAAGGAGGGTCTGGCAGTGCCACCCTGTGACCCCTGCAACCCAAATCAAAACAAACCAAGGAGGTTCACTACGTGATCCTCATGACCTGCAGAAGGCCCTGTAGCTCCTGAAGCTATATTGTAGTAGTTTCCATTTTCTTTTCCATTATCCCTATATAACCCCAATATAACCCCTAGATATCCCTATATATTGTAGTAGTTTCCATTTTCTTTTCCATTAGCTTTGAGGAACCTAAACCTGATGAGCTGCCCAAAGCTTAAGAAAAGCTCAAACCTATCGGCTCGTCCTGTCTTCTCAACCTTTCGATCCACCACCAAATTGATGGCTTCATGGTTTAGGGTTTAGGGTTTAGGGTAGCCCTAAAGTATAATTGCCCAAATCATGTCTAGAAACCCCCTCAGACCCACAACCCTTACAACACTTTCAAAAAGCAGCATGGATCCCTGAGGCTTCAACCGACAGCGGCACCAGGAAACCTAGCTCATCCACATAGGCCTCCGGCATTGTTATAAACAAGTTACATTGAGATTATATAGGGATAATGGAAAAGAGAATGAAAACTACTATACTGGGTTATATATTGGTATATAGTCCCTTGAGTAGATAGAATATGGGGTATATGGGCATCTTTACTATAATATAGAAGCACTTCTTAGGGCTGAAGTTTGAGAGTGCAAAGTGCAAGGCTCAGCATTTTGGATTTAAGCTTTGGGGGTTAAGCCCCAGAGAGCCGCCGAGTATAGCGCTGCAAATACCAGCATCGAAGCCCGAGACTGCCTTTCAGGCACCCCCGGCGTAACAAATCCTGCCATGCAGACACTCTCGAAACAATCAACTCTAAACTGTTGCAGATGCTAAGTGATCCCGCAAGCCATGTTAGAACTCGCGGCATTCAAGCCTTCACATGCTGAACTTCCAGACGTGAGACGTGAGACAGAAAGGATCCGCACCCTCACTGAGGACTAAGTTGGGACAACCAAGCTTTGTTCTTCGTCATCATCCCCAACTGTCTCGTCCAGGCCTTCATCGCTTGCCTGCTCATAGCGCCGAGTGGTCTCAATGAGACCCTTCCTGGAGATCATTCCTTTGAACTCTCCTCGTTCGGAGATCACGCAAGCAGCTTTCGCGCCCGCCTTGGCGAAGAGCGCATAGAGCCGGGGGCCGGGCATGTCCTCCAAAATGGTGTAGGGAGCACGCTCCGTGAGGCGTTTCACAGGCAGGACGTTACCCGAGAAACTCGATTCCCTTGCAACTGCCGCTGATACCAGCTTGCCCATCTGCTCGCCACCAGGATCCGAAGCAGCCTCCTTGAGGGTGCCGCGATCAGAAACATCAATGAAGCCAGAAGTCTGCCACACCTCCATTGCTGCTTGCAAACGTGCTCGGGTTGTGAAACCTATGCAATGGCCGCCTTCTTTCAAGACCGGGAAGCAGTCCACCTTGTCTTGTTGTAGCGCAGCTCTGATGGCACGGAAGTCCACTTCTGGTGCCAGCACCGCATCTGAGGGCAATTCATCGCAAAGCTCCAGGGCCACTGTGCGATCCAGCAGCCGTGGAGGCTCGGCTGGCAAATATGCGATCGCTTTCCGTAAGATCTGCTCCTCATCGAAACCCCGCTCGTTGATGAGCTTGTTGAGGAGCAGGGAGATGGTGACAGCCAACATCAAAGGTGGCACCAGCCCAAGGTCATTGGCAGCTCCTGTAATGAAGACCACCACTGCTACAGCCATCTGCTTGAAGCCTGCTAGCATTGATGCACTCCCGACCATCGCATAGACCCCGGACACGGCCATCCCAGGCTTGCCGTAGTCTCGAACCAGCGCCCCCATCATGCGGCCTATGAGCCCTCCAATGAGCATGGAGCCAGTGAAGTTCCCGGACGGCACCGGCACGCCTGTCAGACCGATGTTCAGACTTGTGTAGGACACAAAGGCCAACAACTCGTTTCTGAAATGGATCTCGTTGGCATCATGCCTCGAGAACAACCGTTTCACGGCTCCCTCCGAGGTGGTGAGTAGCAAAGATGCAACGGGGTTGTACTTTCCTTCCTCGCAGTCATACCGCACGAATTCGGCAGCGTCTTGCGCGGTGTGCTTGCAGTTTGCTGACAAGGCCACCAGAGAGTACGTCAAAGCCACCAGCCCACCGTACAAAACGGCATCGGCCATCTTATTGTATGGCTGATATGCCGCCAATCTGGACATTAGCTTTTGCCTTGCGCTCGCCACAACCAGGCAGGCGCGTGTGTGGAAAGCACTGAAAGGTCCGATGATGACCGCCAACAACATGAAGAAAGGAACATCCCGCCAGCTCCAACCCTGAGGCTGCGGGTTCCACTCGTAGATCACAAAGGCCTTCGTTGAGGTGCCGCACATGTTGAGCAGCGCTCTCGAAAGCAAGGCACACACGCAAGTGCCTGCAAATGACCGGAATGTCACCTCCACTGGCCATGAAGATGAGGTAATCTCTTCAAACATGTAAACGATGCCACCAATTGGCGAATCGAACAGCATTGCCATGCCGCAGGCTCCACCGACTGTGCACACGATGCGCTTCGCGTGCTCGAAGCGGTCCTCGTCGATCATCGTTGCAGCAGAGGTAGCAGAACCAGGTGCATCAACGTCAACCCACTGGCGTACAAACGGCAGCGCCATCACAGAGGTGATGAGGTATGCCAGATTGCTGCCCATGGTCACCGTAGGCCCTTCGCGGCCAACAGGGTATCCTGTGACGTTCGCCAGCATGGTAGCCACAGCACGCCCAATGAGGTTCTGCAGGGTGAAAAGCTCAGGCATCTCGTTCCCATTAAGGAAGCCTTTGTTCTCAGGAGCTCCAGAGCCACCAGCGGCCGGTGCACAGGTGAAAATGAAGAGGGTGCAACATAGCGCCAAGCAGGAGCAAATTCCTGTAAACCCTAAGATTGCAAACCACACACCCAAGTGATCGACCATTGCCTGCAGCGTGTTGAATTTCCATTCTACAGCAAAAGATATAATCCAAATCGTGAAGAAATTGATGACAGCCATGGTGACGGCAGTGATCATAGTAATGGTCCACATGACTCCGAAAGGGAGCTTGTGGGTTTGCGGTCCGCTTGTCTTAATGCGTCTCAACCCCCTCATGGGACTTCCTGCACCTTGCTTGCGCGGAGTGCCGCTCTTCGCCAAGCCGACAGCCACCAACAAATCCTGAAAGTAGCCTTCATGGTGGAGGCCACGCGCTGATTGCAGCGACATTTGCAGCTTCGCACGGCTACTGCGACAACATGGCGCGCGGAGGTATGTTGATTTGCTTCTGCACAAGTCGGGACACAGGTTCAGGGTTGGGTTTAGGTTTCGGAGACCCTTAGGGACCCTAGATCTACATGCGAAAGAAAGAAGCTTGAAATGGAAGGCGTACAAAACCAAGTCTGGTCAAGCCTGTAGGCAAAAGGCAAAAGCTGCATCCAAATGGGCATCACAACATCACACGTATGGGTTTGAGGATACATTCTGGATGGAGTAAAATCAGTGCGCACATTCATGCTGATAGCAGCACAGAACACTAAGATGAGCAGGCCTGTTTTTGTGTGGTGCTGTGAGAAGACATCATTCATGTGGAGTGCTTACGGTCAACTGTTGAGGTCTGCTCAGTACTAGAAAATCTCAGCTGGAGATCTGAGGCGATCTTCAGTGCTGAAATCTGATAGCCAAGATTCTAGATGAGCTCTACCTGAATAAATATCCGAGTCACCTACCTCCACCACAAACATTCACGCAGGCTAGAGGCCCAAGCTCGTGACGTTTCCTCACCCCTCCCAACTGTTCAAGACCCTGGCGGGCACAGCTCCTGTGAACCAATTGTTCAAGACTGAGGTGCGGTGTTGATTGTCAGGAGTGCATGGGTCCGTTGAAGCCTTACTTACTGGTGGTTTGTAATGAACATGGCAATATAATCCTAATAATCCCATATAACCATATATAACATGTTCCCTTCTTCCCTCCTCACCACCAATAAGTTTATGGGCTAAGCTGCAGCCTGCAGGTCCTCATAACTTGTCAGCAGCACGCAATGCGCTTCTAGCTGAAGGACACACGACTCTCACTGATGCTGCCTCGGAGCCTGCAAAATCCGTGCACTTTCATGCACGACAATCCACGTCCAACCCGCTAAACCTGGAAACGCATTTAGGGCCTCGTTTCCGGCCACATGGAAGCCGAAAAGCGTGCTGTTGAATCGAAGGCCCGAGGCGATCGTTGCACAGTCCTCGAGAAGTCATGGGGATGGACGCTTGGGGCGACTGGGATCCCAATAGAGGTCGTGTAAGGCCCTAGAGGGAATGCTGCAGAGATCACCCATGGAGCTTAGGGTTTGGGGTTGAAGAGATGCGGGTTCAGGATACAGAGGTCTGAAGGTTCAGCGTGATAGCTTACAAACGGGTAGCCACCTGTTAAGGTTCAGCTTTAGGATTTAGCATAGCCATCAGGACCTTGCCAGATCTCGAAACAAGCTTGCGTTGGCAACCTGCCTCGATCTTTGTGTTGGCCGCTATTCAGTCTTAGTGAAAGCCGCATGATTCCAAGACAGGGAGTACAAGGCCCATCTAGTCAGGTGCTCATGGGGCGACATCATCTGCGAACAGGATTGCTCTCTTCCACGCCTATGCAAGAGGGGTCCACTACTTCGGGTCAATGTGCCGGAAGCTGGCAATTCTTTTTGATGTAAGCTGTTCAGCCTGCTTTCAGCACGCTTGTCTTCCCTACAACCCAAATCAGTGAACCCATTATGTACTGCTTCAGGCATCATCACTGCGCTCACATCTTCTATGTACAGACATCCTCGACACCGATCGAGTTGTAGGAAATGTCCAGGTGGAAGAGTTGGTTGTTGTTGGCCAGCACATCGGCCAGCATCTGCGAAGGGCAGCTTGGTAAGCACTTCAGCGCAAGTCTGCGGGTGACCTGTTTTAGGGACTCTTCGTACCACCCCGACCTTTGCCGATATGTAGGGATCCTGAATCGCAAACCCCCACCGGAGCCTTGGAGGGATTGTGGGGCTTCTTGGCTTTTCCCATGCCAAGGCGGTTCCAGCTCAAGTCCACACGGGAGAGCCTGAGGAAGTCAACATGTCTGGGTTGAGGGCATTAGGACATGATCTTCTAGCAACAGTACCGTAGGATTTGATTATTCCTTGGGTACCCAAGGAAGCATTTTTGTGGCACACGCTCTATAATCCCATCTGTAAGATTGTAGTACTCATCTAGGTGTGGGGTGGTGGGTTTGTGGTGAAATCATCCCGCCCTAAACCCTAAACCCTAAACCTAAGTCAAAATGCTTCTCCAGCTGCTCAAAATGCTGAAGGACGGTCTGCAGTCCGTCAATCCAGTACAAATAGCAGTAATAATACTAATGAACATAGTGGTAATAATAATGGCAATAGTAGCAAGAGTAAAAATAATAATACTACTGACAATACTCTTCTAAAAGCTCCTGGAAGGAGGAAGTCCCGTGCACCCACGGTACACTGAGACCAGCGCTTGCCACCAGAGACGCGGTTGTCACAAATCCCTTCCAGAAGCTTGTACCTCAGCACGAACATGCAAGGCGGGTGAGGGGGAATATGCAATATCATCAATCTCAACACACACCTTCATGGCCCGCTTGTAATCCCCATTAACCCATGTATCTCCCCGAGATGCCTAAAGTACCCATTGCTAGCAGTTCCCACTCTGAGCTGCACGCGCTCCAAGGCCGTGGAAACTATTCCAGTGCAGGTCCAGAACCTCAACTGCAACAACTTCAAGGCAATAGCATGCTGTGCGAGCTGCGAATAGGATAACGGCACGACTTCTACCTTTGCAGTGGCCACTTCGAGTTAGTTTCTGTCTTCAGGACTGCACCGTAGCCTGGGGCCGTAGCTCTGAGGTGTTTCAGCCCAGAAATCATCTGTCCGAGAGCCTGCAAAGCAGGGAGAAGGCGAGCAGCTTCAATTGGCAATTGGGTTTCTCGCTCTTCATGAAACGTAGGGCTTACGCGAGATGGTTGTTCATGAACATTCTTTGCAAACATATACCCTTGCCCAGTACCCAATTCAACTGAGTTGGCTGGGTTGCTTCTAAAGAACTTAAGTTAAGTTGCTATGGCAGGGAAACCCTTTCATTTACTACATACTCATAATATGCTAACTTAGTTTAGTTCCTTGACATCATGCCAGTTGGCTGACTTGAAAAACTTCAAGTGATCCCAGCGCACCAGCACATTCTGTGACCGAGAATTCACGGCAGTCATGACCCCTCTCTGAATTATCACATGAAGCTCCTTTCAGTTCCACGTAACACCAATCTAAATCCTACACCGTTTAACCCTCAAAACCCTAAATCCTAAACTGGCTGTGAGATTTTGCCTGCCTGGCCGAGCTCGTGATTCACTCTGCCTAACCTGACCAGACCAACCGCGAAAGATGCAATGTGATTTTTTGGGTTTGGGATACTGTCTCATATAATGGGGAATCGAATGGACAAGCAAATGCACGATGAAATGGAAACTGGGATTGTAAAAGGCCTTATAGGGTTTAGGGTGAACGGTTTCACACAGGTGCCCAGAGTTGGAAACAGCTCAGGCCCCCCTCATCGCTTTTGCGGGCCATCATCAAACTGGGCAAAGAAGATACGGATCGTTTTCATGTGCTTTCGGAAACTGTAGGGTGAGCTGTGTGGCACCATAGCGATGATCTAATTGGCCGGTACCTGGATTGTTCCATGGCCTGAATACCGAAAGCCAACTTAAACAACTAGTTGTCACCTGCAAATGCTTACATGTGATTACATATATGGGGGTTTCCCAAAATTAGGGGTACCATTATGGGGGTCTCCATAATAAGGACTATAGTATTTTGGGGTACATATTGGGGTCCCCCCATTTTGGGAAACTACCATATACGAGTACATATTATGAAGCTGTAGACACCTACATTGTCGTATAAACCTCTCACCTCAGGCGTAACAAGAGGCCCTGAGTATACGCGTAGGCTTGTCGCTACAAGGCTGTGCGGGAGGCCCTGTCTGCAAGACTCTAGGTAGCTGTTGAGGAACTTAAATTCAGTTGCTATAGGGTTTAGGGCTCAGGGTTAATTACTATAACAGGGGAACGATATAGATTACTATATATATATATATACATATACACCCATAATAGGGAAACTTCATGGGCAAGGAGGTGAGAGGCCACGGTCAGCCAGCACCAAGCCCTACATCCTCAAACCCAAACCTTACACCCTTGACCCCGCCACGAGAATCCTAAAGATCTAAACCTCAAAATGCCCAACTACCATTGACTAGTATGCCCCACCAAAGCCCCAAATCTCTTAAACTGAGCACCGACAACCACCAACTACAGCTTACTGGGGGTTAGTAGGGAACAAGGGAATATGCGCTATAGGAAGTATACAGGGCTCATATTCCCTTATTCCCTACCAACCCTACACCCTAAACCCTAAACTATACATTCCCTTTTTCCCCACTAAGAACCCCTCATATACCCCCTGTAAACCCTATAATCCCAGTTTCCATTTCATTTTCCAGGTTCTCTTCCATCGGATTCTCCACTATAGCCCATTATAGCCCTAATATTACCCCAATGGGTCCAAGCCCTAAACCCTAAACTGCCAGAGCCTTCCAGACCTTGCCAGGGCCTTTCAGGGCCTTTGCAGGGACGCAGCCCTCAAGGCCTCCCAGCTCCCCGGCTCTCAGGCCCTAGTTCAGAAGCTGCAGGACCTTTCACGGCCGCCTGCCAGCCCTCCCAGAAGCCTCCCAGGCCCCTCCCCACGCGTCCTCTCTAGCTTTTCTGAGGTGGCCTCTGTAAGCAGAATGGCTGAGGCTTCCCTTCCTCAACCTTTTCAGGCCAAAGCCTGCCCCAAATTTTCCCAATTTAAGAGTTTTGCAAGGCCTCTGTGAGGGTTCCCAAGAATTTCTAAATGCTTGCACTTGCGGGAGTTTTGTAGGCCTCATATGCGTTGCTCATGTCCTTTTTCTAGTGCTCTCTGCGGCGACAAGGAGTCAACAGCAGACCAAGGAAAGAAAAAGAACAAGGAAGCCGCCCTTGCTAGGGGGGGGTTCGAATCTGCCGTCGGCCTCCTGACATCACTTATTATCATGATGCTTCTTGGGACTTTTTTTAACATTTCGCAAGATCCACACGTGGAGGCCGCCCAAGGCTTCCGCTACCCCTATTCGTTGTTCGCCTCCTAAACCCTAAATGAGCATGGTTTGGGTGGCTGGGGTGGGACTACTAAGCTGCACAAGCCCGCGATAGTGCGCGCGCCCCTAACTCTAAAGAAAAGGTGCACACCCCGCGCGCGTCCACTGATGCACACCCTAAACCCAAAATCCTAAACCCCAACCCTGAACCCTAAACCCTAAACCCAAGAGTCTAAGTCAGCGGCCCATTCTGTGCCAGGCTCAAGGCCCTGAGGTCCTGGGCACGGCCAAGAGCCTCAGAGCTGACTTCTAGGTCCCCTTAAGTAGATAGAATCTAAGGTTTAGGGTTCAGGGTTTAGGGTTTAGGGTGAGAGTCCCCCCTAAGTACATAGAATATGGGGCAATATTAGGGCTGTGTTGGGGTTGTATGGGAAAAATGGAAAAGAAAAAGGAAAATACTATAACGGGTTATATAGGGTACAGAATATGGGGATCTTATTATAATATACCCAAAGCCAGATTCTATCTACTTAAGGGGGACTAGATCCTCGGAGTCAAAGGGCTTAGGGTGTAGGATTTATTTAGGGTGTGGGGTCAGTTGACTATGGTATGGGGAATTTTCCAAGTTTAGGATTCTATAAGGTTACAAAGTTACAAAGGGTATATATTTGGATTAATGGCACAAAAATTGGAAGCTAGTGCTGTTTAGGGGCTTCGGAATCCTCTGAGTTGGGTTATGAGATCAGGCTCGATCTAGCCTATCAGGCTCGATCTAGCCTGACAAATGGAGGAAGGCGCGCAGCGGAATGGGCAGAGCGCTTCAGATGCTCTAGAATGAAGTGAGCAGGAGCATGGAGAGATCACGTTAGGATGAAGCGAGTACAAATAGGTCACAAAGGTTTGCTTCTCATGCTGACAAGGTGCATCAATGAAGTTGCAGAGGTCACGCTCATAGGCGTCTGCTGCTGCGACTTTCCCAAACGGAGTGCCCAAACGATTGCCCTGCCATCAGCTCTGCTGGCATGTTGGACAATAAGGCTTTGCGAGTCTTGCCATAATTCTAGCATGTAGGGGTATCTCACTACGTCGAGTCCCACATGGCAAGCACAGAAGATGACATGATCCTTGTCGCAGACAGCCTCAACAGCGGACCTGTTGTTCGAACACGCATGATGCAAGGCTTGAAAGGAAATCACATCAGCTTCTGCAAGGTCGAAGGCCTTCTGTGTTGGAGGTCAGATTGTTCTGTTCTTGCCGTTACTATGACACAGCTATGTTTATCACCTTACGGTAACTAAATTGGCCTAAGGACCCAAAACCGATTACCAATGCAGCCGAGCTGAAAGATCCTCATGATCTTCCTCCCTTCCTAAAGAGGACCGGCCCCCTATGAAAATTGGGAGTTTCCTGACATTCTCCATCATTCTCCAACAGGATGCCCGACCCCCATTCTTTGGAAACCTGGAACCTAAACCTGAACCAAATCTATGCAACACAATGCACTTGAACCCCAAATCATCACTTTAAACCTGGCACCTGGAGATTCAGCTCCATCAGAGGAGGGTTGAGCCCGGTCTTTCGCAAAGATCGTTCCTGCAGGAAGGTCTCAGGATTGAAGTGTCTGTGTCTTTGAGGGCATGTGGTGTCATGGCAGGATTAGAGGGTCTGTCTCTTTGGGGGCATGGGGTGTAATGGCAGCTGCTTGTGAGGGCTGAGGACTGTAAAGGCTTGAAATTGTGGTATTGGGTAAAATGCGAGCCCGCAGGTCTCCTTCCATACAGACGCAGCATCTATATAGGATTAGATGGGGGTATAAAATCAGGTTCTATAGGGACAATGGAAAAATGGAAACTACTATTTAGGGCTTTCCTGGTTTGGGTTTTGGGTTTACACAAGCAGTTCCCAAATGGGGAGTTTTCGCCCACTCATGCGGCCCAGCCCTCGACTGTCAAAGATGGTGCCCTCTCAGCCGCAGTCTGAAACATCCCTATCCGCACACAATTGTGGGGTTATATAGGGGTTATATTGGGGTTATATTGGGGTAATGGAAAAGAAAATGGAAACTACCATAATAGGGTTTAGGGTTTAGGTCAGCACATCTCTTCTATGAGGACACCTTCGCATGGCGAGCCTTGGTTTTGGAAACTCCGATAACTCCCAGAAGACCATAACTCATGCTGCCGAGGCCCCGGCAAAGTGGCGCATGCCGTCAATACCAATCTGGTTGTGGGACAGGTTCAACGCCTGAACAAATGGGGATTGTCAGAATTATGGGTACCTTTTGGGGGCTCGCTTTGATAAGGATTTTAATATAGTAGGGTCTATATTGGGCCCCCATTTTTGTGAAACTACCAGATGTCACAATCATGTTGTTACTCCGAGCTGACACCACTCAGCTGGGCTTCCACATCTTCCCTTTGTGGCTGCAGTCCATCGACTGCGATCGCCAAATCGTGGCCAAAGTTCTGCCATTTGCAACGGTGCACTCAAAGTGCTCCAAATGGTAGTTTCCAGAAACAGGAACACAGCCGCCAGGCACGCTCGTATGGTTTTGCAGACAACTGTGACTTCAAAAATGTACAACAGCTGTGAGGGAAAATGGGCCAGCCGCACCAAGACCAGGCTGCCAGGATACTAAAGCCCCTACGTTTTGGGAACTGCGCTCCACCCTGTAGCAGTCTATATTCGGGGTCACATTGGGGGCTTTCTTTCAATATGTTATGTATATTATCCAGGTGTGACAGTGTGGGGGCGGTGCCCAACCTATACTCAGACCAAGCCTTACTTGCCCTGCGAACCCCTTGAAATATTGGGGCTTCCCAAAATAAGGGGTCCCTTTTTGGGGGTCCCTATTATGAGGGATATCGCATTTTGGGGTCCATGTTGGGGTCCCCCTATTCAAGAAAACTACCATATCTGATCCTGCTGCAGCTGCAAGACCTACGCATGCTTTGGAGAGAATGACGGAAGGGGTCTCTACAGTAGCCTGTATTTCTCCCTGAAATTATGCGTCAAAGATCGTTTCCTCTTTCACTACAAAACACCAAAGTGGGAGATCGAAAGCAGCCCGCCTGGGCTCTAGGCAACAGCTTCTCACAAATGAGGGGAACAGATCTGTCCTGAGGCAGAAGAAGCAGCCACGTCCCATGCAAAGCAGCGGAATGGAGGCTAAGAAAACCTGCCGGGATCTACAATCCACACACTTTGCGGGGTTTGGGATATGATTCTACTTGGTACAGTCAGCAGTACTACAACCATTCACCATTACATGCAAAGTTTCTTGCATTAGCAAATTCTAAGGTTGAGTCCTCGATGCGATTCTCGGACAGGTTACACCGCGTGCACTGGTCCAGAGCACCAGGAGCCTGACTGATGCAAATCTTCTTCAGCAGTAGTCTCTATTGCAAAATCACACACTGAACCCTTATTGGTGATTAGTAGCATAGGGACTATGCAGCCATTCTCTTCTGCTATTTCCTACTAACAACCATTAACCCTCATTACCACTCCGCGGGTTCCTCATCATCCGACAATGCTTCGGATAACAAGGCGACTACAAAAACCATTTGCGGCCACTACAACGTTTTGGTAATAATGCCGTCAATACAGCCCTTACATGTTGGGGCCAAAACTTGATGAGTTATCGGGGGTTAGTAGGCAAAAAAGGAATATGATCCCTGTACAATCCTCATATGATATGTTCCCTTATCTAAATAAGCTATTTGCCCTACTAAACCCATTAAGAAAAGGGGACCCTACACTTGAGAAAACCTCAGCTGCCTGGCAGAGCATGTCCAGGCGGTCTGACCCCAGGCTCCAACCTGCTTCGGGTCCAAAGCTTCTTCTACAAACAAATTAGGGATTTTTGAGGGAAATAACAATGTTGCCTTGTTGTGTGAACAATTATTTGGGGGAACATTGCTTTTGGTTACTAATCTTTTGTTTGGAGACTCTGTTTCCCCTAATGCAACAATGGGACTTAATGACTTCATCCTGACGGCCTCCGAAATCCAGAACGCCAGGCTCAACCTCAGCTTCTCTCTCCTGTCAACACTCCACAAGGGTGGTTGTCAAAATTGTGGTCCTTTCTTGGATCCCGATTATAATACGGCACCTAATATTTTTTGTCAGGTCCGTGCGCGCCTTCTTGCTGCGCGCTTTGGCGCCACTACTGGATGATCCCGCAAAATTCTGGAGAGTCTAACATATTTAAAGTGTGGACCCTCTGCGGTAGCGGTGTGTTCAGACAGGTCGGGGTAATAGCGTTTCTGCATGACTTCGATGTAATATGGGAATTGCATACCCCTACGTCTACCCTGCGAAAGTATTCTGTCCTTGAACAAGGTAGCGAATACTACGTTGTGCAGGGGGTGATCCATGTTATGGGCGAAAACCTCTTGCAACATCTTGCGTTGAACGGCGTGTAGGAATTCAGATGCGCGTTGTGGTCTGCCCGCTTGCTCCCATACCGACTCATTGCTGACTCTTGAGTAGTACGAGGCTTTAATGCCGATGGCTCTTCTAAGGAACCGATAATATTCACCTAATGTTTAGGGTACCCAAAAAGGGACCATAAGTTTGACATCCACCCACAAGGCTCTTGATTGAGTAGCAGAGCTTCTCGTATGGGCCAGCAAGACCCTCACTGCCAGGGTTGCTTGGCGTGAGACATTTGTGGCCAGCTGCTATACAATACTAAGACTAGCCATGACCTGCCCCATGAATGGATAGATGGAAGGATGGATGGACGGACGGATCAATGGTGGGAGTCATTAGCGCAAAAAAGGTTTCTGACCATCATGTGATTGTGCCCCAGGGGGCCGTCCAAAGTTTCCTTCAAAGCGCCATCGGAGTGTTTGCAGGCCTTAATCCCGGCTGTCACTGAAAGCCTCTTTCTGTTCGAACCATGCTGCCTGGTCACTTTCCCACTTGAACTTGAAATAGCCACTCAGGAAGGAAATCACGTTGTTGCAGCCCGCCTGGACATCTAGATTTGCACGGAGTTCTTGAGCATACCCTTCATTGTATTTTACGACCATATCTCCCAGCCACACATTTCCGAGTTTTCGACGGAAAGAAAAGGTGGCAGTTTCCTAACTTTCTCCGTTTATGATCTTCGACGAGGGGTCGCTTTTTAGGAGCTTGCCGATGTTGCCCTTGGACAAATCACTCATGTTCATGCTCACATCTTGCCAGGAGCCTTCGCTGCAAACGCCCCAGACAGGGTCATCAGCAACACCAAGACGCGGCGGCTTACCATGTCTCGCTTTTTTTTCCAGACGGCTGTCTGCTTTGAGTTCGCTGAACCTGTTCATTCAAGACAAAGTTCCTGATACAACGCAACTTCAAGCCAGAAGTGGCCTGCGAAACATTGCCACACGGCGCAGGCCCCAAAGCACTGTCGCTGTCTTGCGACTTGAAGCAGAGCCACTCAGTGCATGGCTGCCACCGGGTCCACGACAGGGTGAATGTGGCCCTCCCAGATTGTTATGGCTTTGGGGCTCGCCGTCAAAAAACCCTGCCATCTGATGGAAAACGCCGTCTGGTAGTATCCGAATAACCCTGATCGCGCAAGATTCATGGAAGATCCTCCACTGACAATACTAATCTCTCGCGTGAAACAGAAGAATGAGAATGCTTCCAACGTTTCGGCAATGGAAATGGGCATATTCAATCAATGCGGAAGGAAGAGATGGAAAGGACGGATTCAACATCTGCCTTGGCCTGTCGCGGAGTGCTTCCACGAGGACCCAGGGGGATGTAGTGCCTGCTACGGACTTCTATGCTTGCAGTTAAACCAAAACTTCTAAGTAAAACACAGGGGCGCCTTGTAGGATGTCTCTTTACTCGCTTCTGGGACAGGCTTCTTCTATTCAAAACAAGTACCTACGCTGCTTGCAAAAGGATGCCTCCGATCTGCATTGCAAACCGCAGGTGGGCTCATGTGCAGCAAAGTCTGCTGGCGCCTTAGACATAGAGAATTTGACTCCTCGTCGAAATAATTCATCAATTTCAACTAGCACAGATTCACGGGCTAAAGAAGCACGGAGGGCTTACACTGTGAATAAGCCATTAAATAACAAACCACACAAACGATTGCATTTCCAGCCTTGCCTCTCACGGCACCGACGGTAGTAATCCGACACGTACTCCTCGTGGCCAGATCGCCTGACATCAAATGACCTATAGTCTAAACTCCTAGTATCCCCCTTAATAACCCGTATAATGGTCCCTTATATAATCCCCTATATAACCTCCCTTAAGGAGTTTAGACTATAGTACAAATACTCAGCTCCCTCCCGAGCTGCATTGTGGGAGTTCGCCGATACTATGATTCACACTCTGGGAGCCATTCGGGACTCAACCGTTTCAGGCTTTCTTTGGTGTCCTAGCTGTCGCGCATACTTGAATATACAATCAATACACTAAACACAAGAAATGACAAATGTCATATCATACTACTATTGTGTATTACCATTATTGTTACTATTAATGTTACTAGCCTTACCAGTGTTACTCTGATTACTTCTATTATCTCATATTATCACATCCCTGAAGATGCTTAGATTGGCTAGCCTCGTAAAGCCCAGGTGAGAGCTTCGCCAACCCGTGTCCTCCACACTGACCCGACTGGTTGCAAGGTCCTGGTGCAAAGATGAGGGCTGGGAGGGTTTGAATGTATAGTCCCTCTTTGAGGTTAGGGTTTAGGGTCTAGGGTTTAGGGTTTAGGGTTTAGGGTTTAGGGCCCCTAAAGTAGATAGAACATGGGGTAGTATTAGGGCTATATTGGGGTGATATGGGAATAATGGAAAAGAAAATGGAAACTACTATAATGGGTTATATAGGGTATAGAATATGGGGATCGTATTGTAATATACCCAAAGCCAGATTCTATCTACTTGAAGGGGACTATATACCACATCAACAGTATAATGTAGGGAATTTACTACACCAATTATTCAAAATAAGGATGTACTACACCATTAACATATAATTTGCCAATATTTGCCATATATTACCCCAGTATCGGAAAATCAAATCGGAACGAAATGCAAAAACATACATGAGAACTGAAGTGGGGGATTTAAGGTTGAGGATTAAGGCAGGTGCACGCAGCATTAGTGACTAGTGTTATCTATAATAGTAACGAGACGCGGATGTAAATTGTATACTGGCTAAACTTAAGCGTTTTCCAGATTACGCTTGGAGCAAGGTGGTGCCGGAAATTGGGGGTCTCTTTTCGGTCAGGGGTCCTTGCATTAACTAACAGTTTTGTGGGGCTACGGGATGGAAAAGAGTGCCCCGCCGATGTTGGAAGCAACCAGAAAAAACTCAACGTATATGCGCCAAGATTTTCGCAGACATTGCCAACCTCCACTTCGGATGGAGCCGTCGTAGAGACCTTTTACCAGAAGAGGTGTGGGGATGGCCCAGCAGTGTTTCTGTGAATGTCATGATGGCCTCCGCTTTGCTGCCATGGAGAACCCTCTGCCACCTGGAAAGCCAACAAACAATCCCAACTTTGCATGGCACCCACGGAATGCAAAGAGCTGAGTCCAGGGCTCCTCAAATTCGCTCAGCGTCTTCTTGGCACTGCCAGCCTGGATAGGGATTTAGGCTGCTCAGGACATGCTTTGAGCGAAGTAATTTCGCAAATGGCTGCCTCATTGTACTTCTGCCAGTATTCCTGCATTCACCAAAATTTCACCACACGTCATTTCCGCGCAAGAAACATCATTGCCCGCCGCCGAGTCCTGCTTGAGCTGCTCGCGCTGCGCCACAGAAACGAAAGCCTCGTCAGTGTACTCCTCCAGCTGCATGTCCTCCTTGGCCTCCAGAAGCTTCAGCCGCGCCTTGTCAAGGTGGACATCGACCCCCCAAGCCTGGCTCTTCCAAACACTGTGCCTCGCGCTTCCGAACGATCTGGCGTGACTGAGGCCGGCTGGCACCACATGCGCCACTGGTGCCTGGACGGCTTCCTGTGGCCAAGGAGACAGCTCAGAGTCCGAACCGACCCTGGGAATCGCATGCCTGCCATGGGGCTTGCCATACGAAGGGACGGCTCCTGGCAAGAGCTAGGACGCCTCTAGCATGATAAATGGCTTGAGAACTTAAATGAGCCCGTCCCGAAGCTCCCCTCAATCACAATGCAGAACCCCTCTGAGCTCCAATAGCACATGATGCGACATTAGAAGCCTCTGTCTCCGCAGCATCGGGGAAGCTGTTCTCGAAGAATGCGAAATCCTGCGATCCACGGGTGACACTGCCCGTGAACATGCCATGGGGCTTACAGGAAGCAAATGCAAACACAGTAGCTACAAGATGCTACAAGAGCCCACTTTTCTCTCCCCTGCCAGGGCTGCCAACTCCAAGGCCACAAAGCGCTTCTCTCCCAAGTCGAGAGCCCAGGCCGAAGGACTTCTCCTGCCAGGGCTGCAGACTTCCCTTTGTCCGCAGACACCCCAAGTAAAAAATCCAAAGAAGGGCAGAAGACTACGGTACTGGAGGGTATCACTGAAGCACTTCTGCCTTTTTCTCTGGCAATGGAACTAGTTGCGGCTTGTTGATGTTGTCTTCATCATGCTGTTTCAAACCCTGTCCAGACGAGGCTCGCGGTGTGCTGTGTACCTCCCGAAGTGGCTGTCTCAAAACGAAGCCGAGTAAGCTTTTGCCCTCTCAGCAGTTGAGCTGCGATTTCGACGTTCACATCCCGCAGCATGCTACACTTACTTCACCCCCGCGTATATCCTTGGTGCAAACAAGATTTACAGAATCCCTCGGCGGTAGCAGAATGCCCTGCTGTAGAATCCGCCATGCGCCTGTGAAATTTGCCACGATTCCCCAGTCGCAGCAATCTCCAGGCTTCAAGCAAGGGCCTCCAGGGTTATCCAACGGAAAGCCCTATTTCTTTGCTGGGTGGCTTGGTTGGATCGCTTTGGCACGAAGCCAGTGGTACCTTTGCAGTGTGACAGAGCTTCACAGGGACGTCTGCTCCTCTCAGTACTTCAGAAACTGGTAACGGTGTCTTTTTGGCGACCGAAACTTCCCGTGAAGAGAAGATCCCCGGGGTGTTTCAACACATCTGAGCATTAGACTCCAGTCCTGAGCTCTCTCCGTGAGAGGCAGTGCCACTCCGCAAGTACCATACCAGCATCACTGTCATCATTGCCCGTCAGCCCTGAGAGAACATCCAGTGCTGGCACGATTGGATGTGTCTCCTGCGAGTGGCACGCGGCAGCATATGGATGGTAATGGCCAGAGCAAGCCCTTTTAGACATCTCTGCGTGTTGATAAGGCAAGAGTTGGTTCAGCAAGAACAGCAATGTTAGGAGCTTATAACAACAACAGACCTCTATGGAACCTCCACACCCAGCCACAACAAAAGACTAACACTGCCTGTGCAACTGATGCCCTCCCAACAGATGCCCTACAGCGTAGCTGCAGCTGCAAAAACCCGTGAACGATCTTGAACGCCTGGACATCCTGCAGATTTCCAGAAAATGAGAGACCAGTCCTCCAATGAACGGTCGAATTGGTTCCCAGCAGGACTTCGGAGAAGCTGCCCCGCATGCCCTCGCAGCCTAGTATTTGGAGCTAAGGGATTGCAGCCGCCAAGAAGCACTACAGAAACTTATGCGAAATGCGATTTTGAGCTTGGTCTCAACATACAAACATCATGCAGTTCTTGCAGGAACCTGGCAGACATTTCTGCACACAAGACTTCCACTGCTCACCTCAAAAAAATCTGCAGCCGCGGAACACAGGAACCAGAAAGGCCACAGACTGCCTGGCACACCCGAACCTGCACAGCAAAGCAGCTTGACCCAAACTTGAACTGAACGTACACCGCAACATAAGTCCTCTAAGTCCCCGAATGAGGTTATAGCTGGGCTGTAAGTGCAAGTATAAGTAGGTTATGATGCAACAGTGTTGTCAAGCAAGAGGTTGCTCCACAAAGATGGAAACTCACACTTGGGGCTCGGGGCTAACAGGCTTTTAAGAAGCAAACTGGGTGGAAGGTTCCATACATGGGGGGGAATAAAACCCGTTACACACTATTCTGCGGTATACATGGACCCAACATACTATATCTCTCATGTTACAAAAATCCAATTACAATATACCTCATGATGCATAGACCCCGACATAATACATTGCTCGTGTTGTAGGGACTCCCTATAGTCTAAACTCCTAGCATCCCCCCTAATGTCCTCTGGCACACTCCCCTATATAATCCCCTAGAATCCCCTAGAAACGCCCTTTCAGGAGTTTAGACTATAGCTCAAATGGGCCTCTCTCATATTTAGAGCTCCCCCGATGTCGGCCTGCAGCAGGACTCCATGATCAACCGCCTCAGGCATCGACGACGGCATGGGTAAAGAAGGGGGTAGATGGGATTGTGTGGGGCGTTACGGGGATATATGTGTGTATGTTTGGTTTATGGCCTATATGGTTCAGCATAAGAGAGAAATAACAACAGCTACAAGTAACAAGAACGACATGTGAAGAATATGGTACAACACAGGGTAATATCGGATAGTAACGTAAATCCAGGCCGTGCAGGAAGCCGGCAAACACTGACAGGCTTCCTATGCAACCCTGGGATTTGCCGCTTCGCCACAAGCCCGTGAGCGACGGTGTGATGTCCATCTCGGTGAGTAGGAATAGGCCATACTGCCACTTCCTGGCGAACGGCAGCAAGCAGCTATGCACATGCTTCTCTACAAATGCCCGATACCTACAGCGCTGAGCCATAGAACCTAGCCCGGGCAACTCGCCTCCACAGCCCGCTCATTAAGGCATTGAAAGTGATGAAGTCCGGCTCATGGGAGTTGCCTCACCACTATGCTGATTTACAACTGGGAACTAAAACCCAGGCCCCAACAACTACAGTGGTAACGGGTAACTGAATTGGATATGCCCTTCGAGTGAAAATTGAGACTTGCAGGAAGCCATACATGCAACTGCATCTTCGCTGCTCACAAGTTCAGATGGGTTGTTCTCAAAATTATGACCCCCTGACGGGTGTAGATTATGTTGCAGTATCTGATATTTAGGGCACCAAATATAGGACCCTGATTTTGGGAACTGCTCGCATGTCTCGTCTATGACACAGCCGCAGCGTTCAAACACCAGAGCCTCGCCTCTCATCTCAGCCGTGAGTTGCAGCCCTTCCTGAAGCAGCATACATTCCTTGGGTCCTGCCCCCACCCAGCATCAGTCTATAATAGGGATCATACTAAGGGTTCTGTATGATTATATAATAGAATAACATTATCCAACTGTTACTAAGTGGGGGCAGTACCCAATACATTCCCACCGTGCCAGGCTTCAAGCCAGCTTAAGGGCTGGGGCTGTGCATTCAGCCTGTATGCCATGCTCCATTGCCTTTTCCACTTGGTTGTCTAAGACTCTACATATATGTGTATACGCATGTACGTGGAGCTACCCTCTTTGTGGGTTCAGAGGCTTTTCAGCGTGCTTAAGAGACAGTTCATGTTACAATCACTATTTACAGTAGTACAGTTTTACTATAATAACACCCGGCACCTCCCAGCGGGCTGCTCGAGACACGGCCGAGATCGTCGCGTTGAAGGACACCTGGTGGTTCATGTCTCGCCCATGTACTGTGGCTAGCACTGAAAGTGCAGTGCACAAGACGATTACTCCCAAAAGTGACCCATGTTGCTATACACCACGATACAGCCAGCTAGACTCAGAATTTCATGGGCAGCAGCTATCCTGTAGACTTTGTCTCGTGCCATTTTGGACAGACAGTGCGGCGACTGAAGGGCAAAATTCAGTGCCCGTCCTTGGAGGGCGGGATGTGTTGTCGAACAGCCCCCTGGACAGCTGCAAAATGTGCAAGCCTAGGGCTGAGGGTCTCCATGTGAATCTACATCGATTTTGTAATGCAAAAGTCTGACCGACAATCCAAGGGCAGCTACCGTGCCAGAATCAATCGGATGGAGGAGGTGCATTCAAGCTATCATCTCCTGCCATGAAGTCTGCAGCAAGCCGACTGCGATCTCCCAAGCTTCGCCTTGAGGGGGATATATGGGCGGGTGTAAAGGGATACGTGGGGAAATCCATACAGAGCCTTGGGATATATTGGCCTCAGAGATTGGCTGCTATCTCAAAATCTTTGAGCAGGAGCACTTCCTGTTTGCCCAATTCCTGGCATCCTCGCACGATGTCTCTTCAAAGCGATTCCTGAAAGTTTAGGTTCGCAGCCGAGAAGGGTAATATTAAATCCAGGCATGGATTCGTCTCTGAAGGCTTTACCTCACATGTCTTACAAGCAAGGCTTTGCCGGATGACAGATGTTGTCTTGCAATTCTTGCTGTACTTCCAAGGAATAGGGGATGGGGATCCATGGCTGCAGCGAGGAAAAATGCCCTTGCAAAAAGGCGTAGCTGGCATGTTCATCCTGCTAGCAGCAAACAGAAGTGTTGCTTGGAACTTCGGGTGCCTCGCATGCAGCTCGTAATTGCAGCGTTGCAGGCAATGACATCCGCCTGAAAGAGAGATTGAAACAACTCTGGGAGCACTCTTTGAAATGATCACGCACAACTGCATGCTTTGAAGTAGTTGGGCCGCGCCGACTGAGAACCCATTCCATCTGCAAAATGTGCAGTTGACCACAAGCTTCAGAGCAACGCCCGGTGCAAGGACCGCCTTACCGCGCATCTCAAAGAACAGTGCCAGACAACGCTGCCACTGAGAACCTGCTGTGAAGCGAGACTGGCTAAGAAATCAAGTGACCGGCTATTCTCAGTGTCCTTTGATGTGGATCTGTGCTCTTACGTCCACGTCTCTCTTTGACGTGTCAAGCCACCAGCAAAGTGTGCATCTTGACATGCAGACTGAATAGCATTGTCTGCGCCTTTCTCCAGCGAGCTGAGGGTCGAATTCCAGCTGACAACATCCGCATCGAAAGTAGCCTGGGAAGCAAAATGAGTATTTGTCAATGCTAGAGTCCATCACCTCATATCTCACCTCCACGACCAAGACATCCATGCCTAGAACCCTAACAAGGTTGCTCGATTTCGAGAAAAGTCTCACTTATCAGTAGTGAACATTGGAGCCGTGATCCGCAAACAACTCATGAAAACCGTATGGCATGCAAACTGCTAGGGAATAGCAGCTTCAAGCACAGCTCACAAATTCTGTTCCAATCAGAATCCGTTTGGGCAAAACTCCGGCATCCATGGAATAATTTCGAGAGGTGCCTGCAATCCCTTTTCAATCTTCAAAGACCCCTAGATTTCCAGAAGCACTAGGGGAAGGAGACCCAATTCAAAACGCAAAAAAACATTTTCTTCCAAGGCACCCTGAGCTGCCCCAGTAGAGCAAGGCTATAGGGCCAGCCTTACAATTCAGAAACTCATACTTTGGGTGGTTACCCGGGGTGTTGGGGTACGTAGGGGGCTTTTCAAAACCGCACATCTGATATTTTGGGCGATGATTCAGCAGGAAAGATTTTACAGATGGCAAGAGGATCGTGCATCAATCCCATTGACTGTCAGTCTACAGGTGCTTCAATCATGGGCAGCGCGTCGGGGGGGAAACTGAAAAAATGCATTTTGTGGGATGGTAGAGGGATATGTCGCAAGGTTGTACAGAAGACAAGACGATCCTGAAACTCTGGGTCTCTGCTGTTCCAACAATTGCAATACCCTTACACACCTCTACAGCAAAAACACTTCGAGTACCTCACGACCGCGAGACAGGCCTTGCCACGTTTTCGCAAAAGAGTCAAGCCTGCAAGGAGGCCCCAAGAATCCCCATCGTAGAAGGATATTCTGCCGGGGAACGATAGCCTTTCTCGCAGGCGGAGATCGCTGCGTTGCAGGCCGACAAAGCTGGCTGAAGCCTTCGCCCCTGCAGGGTGACCAGCATCTGCAGGGCAGTCCTTACCTAGTATCAGATGAGTTGAACCCACCTATTCCACTTGAACTTGTGCTGATTCTTGCTGTTCATTCAGCTACCATGACTTGCAAACCCATAATTCCAAAAAAACTGGCAAAAGCGACATTTTTAGTGTTGATTGCAGTTTGGTGGCTCCCATCTGGCCGCCCTCCCGGCAGATCCTACTGCAGCACTGCATACGACTTGAGGGACGGAGTCCATCACTGCCAAGGAATGTCCTTACTTTTGCTTTCAAGTTCAAGCTGTGCAAACAGATGACGCTATGTTCCATTGCTCAGACTTCCAGATATGCTCCTGAATCCTCACTGGCAAGGTACGAAAAATCTCAAGAGCGATGGTCCATCCTTGGAGGACGCGCTTTTCGTTGCTGGCTTGCGTTAGCACAGCATGGAGCCACAATACGCGAAAGACGCAAACATCACACGCATCCCAGGACAGCGGCTGTGCTTTTTGTTAGACATCTATCTGACGCCGGGCCATCTCTTTGAGTCTGTCAGTCTGGCATCGGTGCTCTCCGAAGCTGCACAGCATGTGCCAGGTGAATCACCATCCCTCTGCTGAGAATTCAAAGAAGGACAGGTCACGACACCAGCCATCACTGCAACAAATCTGGTGAGTGAAGATGCTCAGCTGGGCAGTGTGCAAAGCTAGAATGGGGCACACTGGTATCTGCAGCAACTCGTAAGCCCAAAGTGAAGAGCAAATGGGTCCAGGAATCAAGCTTTGCGGCTGCGCACCGACAGATAAAGAACTGAGCCTGCGGATGTGAAAAGAATCATGGTCCAACATCTGCTGATATCTGCTGTATCTGGATCGGTTTACAAAGATTTTTCAAGGACACCCTCAAGGCTGCTTCTTTGCAATTTCTGCTATTCTCTGTACACAAGATGGAGCAGACTTGCTGAAAATTGAGGTCTAGAAAACGGTTACACCGCCTAGGCCACTGCTGCTGCCATCACTTTCGCGAGGTCAGCATGCACTGCTACACTGGTGTCCCGGTGCTTGTAGACCTGCTGCTTCCCATTAAAAACAAGAACGCCACCTTGCACCAGCGTCTTGTCAAGCGAGTTATCTCCCTTGGGCATTAAAGGCTTGTAAATTTCTTTTGCTGCTTCAAGATCATCGTTGGTGTAGAGCCCGGGGACGTCGAAGAGGCCGAAGAAGCTGACGGGGCGTCCGTTGGCCCGGCCCTTCACTGCCTCTGCGGTCTTCTCCGTCATCATCCGCATGCCGCGTTTACGGCCATCTTCACTGAAGTCGGAGTTCACGAACTGGACGGCTTGGTAGGTGGCCGCTTCGTCATCACCGAAGACCATCTCTGCTGGAAAGCCCACCTGCTCTGCAAACTCCTTGGCACTTTCAGAAGTGCCAATGCCGACCACGAACAGCTTGATGTTGGATTTCTCAGCTTCGGGGAGCCAGTCCCGTTTCAGTTGGATACCCAGCTCCCAGCAGGCCATTCAGCCGAAGTGACGCAAGAAGGCCACCACCACGCGGTCGCCATCCGACCACAAGCTTGGCAGCACTACTTCTGCACCGTCGGAGGCCCTTCGGACGGGGGTGTTGGACAAGGCCTGATAGTTGACGTCGATGACGTCCAATGTGGCGGTGTCCACGGATGCCTGCGCCACTCTTGTCACAGGGCGCGTGTTCTGCACCGAAGGAGTTGCGACTCCGGTGAAGGCACGCAAGGCTGTGCCAAAGTTGCACCCCAAGGCCACAATGGCGCTTGCAATCGCCAGCTGCGAACAAGTCCGCAGCCTTGATGGCCGGGAGCCCCGTAATCCTCTAGATGTCGCCATGGGACAAACACAGAAAGGACTTGAGAATGCCAATAGCATCAAACAGCCGAAGTTCAAGAGATGCCTGTGCTAGCGCTTGCAGACAGATTCTTTTGCAAGTTTGCTCATGACGAGGCCCCAGCTCGTCGCCCGCTCTGCCGCCACGGCTACAGTACCCAAAGCAGTGGCAGGGGGTAGCAAAAAGTCAGAAGAGGCCATGAAGAGGTCCAAAGTTCTCTGCCACTGATATCCTTCCAGCAGGGTGCAGGCGCAGGTGGCGTAAGCAATTGCTTTGAGAGATACATCCTACTCCCTACTCGGGTGGCAGACTTTTGCCTGCGCTGAGAGCGGCCAGCGCAGCGTTCCGGGTGATTGCGTCTACCACATTGCCTTAGTCAAACAACCAGACGTAACCTGCATGCTGGTGCAAAAGAACTCACCCAAGCCAAATGCTGGGAAGACACCCTCGGAAAGAAGCTGAATGGCAACTTGCCACTGGGCGCCAGTCTCACATGCACTGACAGTCGAATTCAGAGTGTTCACGCCAACCTGGTTCAATCTTTGCCAGAACATTGGCAAGCTAAGCCAGCATTTGAACTGGCAAACATCTGTGTCTTCAAGGTACTTGGTGCGGAGACGTTACTGTGGCTCCTGTGAGTTGAAGCATGTCATAGCAGGTAGAAGTATCATTGTATAGGGTATATATAGGGGCTATAATGGGATAATGGAAAAGAAAATGGAAACTACTATATTATAGGGTACATATAGGGCTCAACATAAATTATGTGACTACTAGCTTCGTTCTTGCTCAACGTGCGGACGTGGCTCGGGCATGCGAAAACCCCGCATGTGTCGAAAAAGAGCGAGGACTTCTTCCCAACGTCGAACCTGCGCAAGCTCTGATACCAAGGGCCAGCACAAGGAAAACAAGCATTAACACCATGCCAACCAAAACGACTTGAGTAATGCTAGGAACATTTATCAATGACTAGAGGATACTAGAGGTATCTGTCCTTGTGGCAAGCTGCAAGCAGCAGCTCAAAGGAGCGCAATCCTGCCACCTGCAGATCTTACAGTTGAATTGAGCTACCCAGGTTCCCTGCAGCATCCAACAAAATCCACAACACAACAACTTCAGCAGTCAGCATCCAGGGCCCCCTTGTGTATCTCCATCATGCAGTCTGCTGAGAGACGTGCCATGTCCAGCGAATTGAGCCAGGCCCCTGCAGAAAACACGACAAGCCAAAATTAAAATCATCTGGTCATCTGGTTAAGGTGCTGACCCAGACCAGCAGCTGCAACGCATCGCTTCACCGCTCTGCCGCCACAGCATTGCAAGCCCAGAGCAAGATGGGACCGGATTTCTGCCAAGCTTGCATCTTCAGACTACCCTCTTCCCAGCTCCACCTATACAATGCAGAGTCTACAAAGATCTGCACATCACGAGTGCAGTCGCCACTCGGCATTTGTCAGGATGCTCCTGCTAGCTCTGAGCCTGCATGAAGTCTGCGCAAAAATGCACGCAGTGCCCCTTGCGAGTCTTACCCGTTCCCATGGCAATCACGACAGAACAACACTGAAGGCACCAGATCCTCGAAGCTCATCTCCTCGCTTGCAATATGCCTGAGATGAAGCACATGAAGCGATGCTCTCTGAATCTTATGGGCTTCAGGTGCCTCCAGGATTGACAACGGTTGCTTGAACAATGGGACTTCAATCCCAACATGAATGTTCTGCAAGCAAAACCGATTAGAGGATTGTACCGGAAGGAAAAACCAGCGCAACAAAAAGACGTCTCTTCTTTTTCCGATTCTTCTGCTCAGCTTCAAGCACCCACTGTGGAAGCAAAGTCCTGTGTCCTCGCTTGCTACATAGCAGCAGACACATGTCTGCAGAATTGGGTCTAGAATCTAGACTTGGAAAAAGCACACCTCTGTAACAAATAATAAAGCCAAGATGGGGCATGGGCGAATCACCAAGGCGCACCGACCGCAGCACCCCACTTCTGGCAGTCCTCCCAGGACTGACAATGAACTCTGACCCGCATGGGGTGTCCAGCAAAAATCTCAAACCCTCCAATCGAACACGCTGCACGTGTGGCTCTTCCTGGCCTGACGTCGTACACCGCAGCACCCTGGTGCTCACGCTCCTGAACGAATGGAAGCATGCACAGGATGGCTGACTTAACAGCGCAACTTCCCACCGGCACACAGTAAATGTTTAAAACACGACATCATGGGGGGCGTGTCGTTGGACCTTGATCCTGAGGAAACGGTCGAAGTCCAAGTTGGGGACCTGGAGCTTTGCGGGCAACCTTAGCTGCAGGTGAAAACACGTCGCAGCACATAACATGCAAAACCCCCACTCTCTCCATTCCCCGCCCTTTTCACACTGCAAAAACATGTCAGGAAAACAATGAGTGCAAGTCAGCTCACCGGCTTTTGCGCACATCCTTCGGCTCGTTGCGGGCAGTCAGGGCTTTAGCCTTGTCCACAGCTTTGGGCCTTCCAGGTGAAGTGTGGCAGGGCAACCGAGCTACTACTTTGGGGTCCCGGTATACAAATGAAATACTGGGAAGTTCATGGACATTTTTAGTACTCGAGCTGCTGGCAAGACCTGGCAAACTTGTCGTGAACATCAAAGGCCTCTTGGTCTTTTGTGTTGCGCTCGAGCCAGGAGGAGTTCCATCTACAGTCAAGGAAATGTGCAAAGTTGACATCTTTGCATGCAGGATGAAGAGCTACGTCTCACAACAGCCAGGGTTCCTTCATCATCCAAGGAATCGGGGGAATCACGAGTCTTCTCCTGGGCAACCACACATGACATCCAAACATCCGCTGCTGTTTTGCCAAACTCACCACAGTACGAGGAAATAGCCATGCAGGCATACCACCCAACCTTGAAAGAAGTTTTGAGCTTCGCATTTCCCTTCTGCAGGCTATTTCGCCGTCGAAACGGATCGCCTGCCCACGCTGGTTTGAATCTCCGCACACATCATCCCTTTGTCATGATACGTCTCAACAGGGAGCAAGATTCACAAACTTGAAGACTAATACGTCTCTTGTTGATCATCCTCTCAACTGAACTGCAAGGCCTTCTTTACCTCTGAAGTCCACCCTAAGCCCTAACCCCTTAGCGCTAAAACAGCATCTCCAACCCCACTCCCAACACCCTGCTCCCGAAACCCAGAACTGCTTTAACTCCAAGCAATGGGCATGGCCTATGTCTCCAGCGAGTTTCATGCAGAAGCTGCTCGCCTGATTCACATTGGCATAATGGTCGAAACTTCTCGGATTGCTTCCCACAGTTTGGGGAAGTCCAAGGCAATATGCCTCTATTCTCCGTACATCTGACTTTTTCCAGACTTGCAGATTACTATTTTGAGCTGTCCCGGCCTTGGGCGCAGAGGCTGTCTACAATGACTATTGCTGCGTGGAGCAACATCAGCAGCTTACAAGCCGAGTAGGTCGCTCGCACAAGCTCAAGGCAATTCAGAGCCATGTCTACTACTCCATCTGAGTTGCTTTTAATTTGTCAGACTCTAGATTGTCAAGATTGCCAACACGACATGCTATGAATTGTTGGGCTTTTGTCCATGTTGAGCAGAGATGCTAATACTAACATGCTTGAGATTCAAGATATGACGGCATGACAAAATGTTCGCAGATGAATTGCACAAGCTGCCCAAGGAATATCTCAGAAAGAACGTGAACAATGTTTGCACATCTCCGGGCCATGGAGGGCTCGAGCAAGGCTTTTACAAAGCTGCACGCGAATGACGCACTAGGAAGTAAGACCAGACGCCCTTTTTCAGTGAGATTACAAACCAACAACAAAAGTAGGAGTACTTGGCTTGGGCCCAAGCGAGGTTCGGCAAGCACGTGCGGACATATTTTTTCTGCTGGAACCTTCCACAGTCCGCACCAAACATGACGGACCATGAAGCGAGCTAAATCTTAAACAGTTATACCACCAAGCTCTCGATTGCCTGATGGGGCTCCCATGGCTCTAGGAGCACTGGCTGCTTGCCCTTTCCGACAACAGTGACATCAACTGCCACATCCACGTTGCCAGTGCTGAGCAACACTGTGTACTTGCCAGCATAGCTCACAGCATCGCCAGCATCGGTGAAAACCTGCAAACTCGCTGCCGTCACCTCAAAGCTGAGCATTGCATCCTGCCCGTGTGCAACCGCCACCCTCTCAAAACCGAAGAGCTGCTGGCGGAGCTTGGCTGCCCGGGAGCCCGCAGGAAGCGTACCCTGCGCAGGTCTAAAATAAGCCATCACAACCTCATCCCCATCCATGGGACCGGTGTTCCGAACTTGCACCGGGATTTTGGTTGTACCACCCTTCTGCAAAATAGTCACCGACCTTGGACCCTGCAGGCTCAGGGCGAAGGTTGTGTACGAAAGACCAAAGCCAAACGGCCAGAGAGGTTTGCCAGTGAAGTAGCGATATGTCCGCCCTGGGGCCTTGGTCATATCAAAGCTGAGCATATCGAAGTCATCGGTAAAGGTCTCATCATATATGGTCACAGGCAGCTTACCCCAGCGGTTGCTCTTCCCCAAAAGTGCTCCGGCAATGGCTCTGGCACCGAAGAAACCCGGGTACCAGGCCTCCACTACTGCGTTGGCCTTCGCTTTTACTGGACTAATGGCCACAATGCCACCATTTATCAGGACAACGGTTACGGGTCGGCCAACCCTAGCAATAGCATCGAGCAATCTAAGCTGCCCCTCAGGGAGCGTGATGTTGTGACGATCACTCCCTTCCCTCTCGATGCTGCCGGCATTTATGCCCAAGGCGAGCACCACATGCTGTGCAGCTGTGGCAGCAGCCACAGCTTCCGCAAGAAGCTTGGGATCCAAGTCAGCATCAATGCCAGGCAAGCCAGGCGCTGTGGTCACATCCGTAGACAAATTGCTAAGTGCCTCGTAAATGTTCTCCACACAGCCAAAGCTTTCCTCCTTCTGATTTCCAGGACAAATCTGGCCGAGGTAATTGCCCAAGAGCTCGCGGCGTGTTGTGGCGTGCGGGCCGATGACTGTGATACGACCACTCAGTGGCAAGGTGCCATTCTCATTCTTCAGCAACACCAGACCCTGCTCAGTGGAGTCAATGGCAGCAGCGACATGGCTACTTGAACGAACAACTTCTGGAGAGAAGTGCTCGTATGGTTGGTCCGGGTCATCAAAAAGCCCAAGACGGAAGCGCAAGGAGAGCGTGTGCCGGAGTGCCTCATCTACTGCCTGCTCTGACAGCTGGCCTGCAAGCAGAGATTCTGACATGCCTTCACATGCATGTGGCAGAAAACAAACTTGTGACCAGCATGTGCTTTCTGAAATGTTCCAATCCTTTCACTCAATTTTTGCTTCCCAGGCGGAGGGGCCCAAGGCAACACGAAGCACCCCTCCGTCTTCAGGCGAGTGATGTTGACTCCAGGTCATCCCTCCTCATTACCAGTACCAAAACTGCCACAAACACCGTATCCTGAATCTAAAGTTTTCAACTATCTTGCACCCGCCTGCGCGGACCAGATCTGGAATGCACTTCAGGTACTCCTGGGTCGTGATGTTGGGCGACATACGATATGTTGCTTAATTTCTATGAAAGACGTAGTCGAACTGCAAGAACTAGTCCAAGCCCACCTCTCCTACGCCCTAAACCCAGAAGCCCGCTCCTCACCTCCTCACCTGCGCACTCCAGACGCTTAAGCCCTCAACCCTAAACTCTCAACCCTAAATCCTGAACCGTAAACCCTGAACCTTAAATCCTGAACTGCACCTAATTTTCAGTGGTACCACAATCCAAGGATCCGCATTGGCTGTTGCCCAAGGCTGCCCGTGGGTCCATCCAGCAGACTGCACATCGGTGCCGGCTTCCACGGCCTCGAACGAGTGGGCGTTTCTAGTCACATGGAAAGTGTCTAGGTGATTTTTAGGGTTTACGGTTAAGGGTTTAGGCTCTAGGGTGGGATCCCATGACAGCATTTGGTTTTATTCTATGGGACTCTTCTCCTCCTGTTACCAGTCGGAAGGCTTTGCAAGGTTCTATGCGGCTCCTCTTGCATTGGCAGCAAAAAGACAATAACTTGGATTTTCGCACACCCACCTAAAATACGCAACAGCAGGGCATGAGTCGGAAAGAAGCCCTTTCAGCCTTGACAACAGCCTGCTCCAGGGAAGGAGCAAACCAATGGGACCGGTAGATGTCGTCCACCGCTCCCGAGTCGCCAGAAACATAGCCCTGAAAGCCCCAGTCCTGCTCAACAGTTAGGAGTTCTGGCTCTTAGGGTCCGCGAATCATGGGAAAGGTCGAATGGGACTTCATGTTCAATCGCAAAACTGAGAACAAACTCCAGCCATATCCAAAACGAGTGCACATTTGAAATTTGAAGCCCCATATCCTTGCGGAGCTTCCCTAGTAGCCACTTGTTGGCGCAGCTGGGATAGCCGTTAATGGCATTGTACGAGCACATTATACCAAGGGCGCCGCCATCAACCACCGAGCTTCGGAAGGGGGCCAGGTACGAGGAGGCCAAATCATATGCGGAAATATTCACGTCAATGGTGTGTCTTGTGCATTTCTGGCCAGGACACATCCCTGTACCCGGGTACTGCGCCGGCCCGCCAGGACCGGGCCAGGTGCCCTCCAGCTCATTGGCGGCAAAGTGCCTAGCCAGCACTGAAACGCCCCGTTCACATCCTACTCTGCAGAAATCCATAAAGAGTCTTGTAGAACAAGCTTATTGACCGCTTCAAGACCCACTGCCAGGAACACCGCAAGGTTCAAAGTGTTTTGGAGCTTCCTCGAATTAAGGGGGACGAAGCAAAATGGACACTTGGGGGCCCTAGCAATAAAGAGAGGATGAAAGAACAAGCATAGAGTTTCCCCATACAATGGAGACAATCTTGCAAAATGTCGAAATGTCTGCATCACTGCGATACAGATGCTTCAGCGTCACAATTGCCTGCAGCCTGCTCGGGTCTTTGCCCTGTTGAACGCCCTTGGAAACCTGCACTCCAAAGCGGCCCACGAGAAACGGATCCTGCTGTTACTCAGTTGGTTTGGGGCGGAAAGATGACATATGCATAATTCAATTGAACAAGTACAAACCGCAAGGGGAAGGCTCAGAAAACCGCTCCAGCATGGAGGTTTGTGTCTACGTTTAAAAATCACCCAACAGCAATGCAATCCTCTGACGGCGTCTCCATGTTGCGGCCCCAACGTGGGTCACGCACAATGTTCACGTTGGGGCTCCAACAGTCCAAACCCAGTGGTGGCAGCTGTGTTGGAGGATGGTTCTCACCCTTGCCCTGCTTCCACAAGCTGCGCAGCTCCACCCCAATGACGTGGCCCATCGCCCACCAAGCCGACTCGTTGAAAGCAGCACCGAGCAGGTTTGGAGCGGCAAAGGAAGTAGGGCAACGTGAGCCGTCTCCGCAGCGCGACTGCACACCGTGAATGCAATTCACGCCCCAATCGTATTGTGGGATTCCCAGTCGGGAAACATTGCCCAAGGGTGCCAAACGGGCCACCATCAGCAGAGGCTTCTCATTGAGCTCCAAGCGTTGAATCAAGTCCTCCACGCGCTCTTCGACTGTGAGCTTGCTGTTGCAAAAGGGGAAATGTTCGTATCCCTTGCTGCAACCATACCGGGGGTAATGCTCATCTGCTGCGCTGAGGCGCAAACTCAAACCCACAGCGAATGTCCAACCGAGCATCATCGCTTCAGGTCAAAGGTGCTGCGGCCTGCCTTCCGACAAACATGCACAATGATGGAGCAATTTTCAAGCTATTGAAAGCAACGGGGAAGTGTTAAACCCAGTGGGTCCTGTTCTGGGCAACATACGTACCAGAAACACGGCGGCATTTCATTCGCAACATCACTTATCAAACAAAATGACACCCTCCCCCAGGCTTTACATCAGGCTTGTTTCCACTCGAGTAAGACCAGTCATGTTGGCACAAATGGCAATCCATTGTCCACACATTGTGCAGACGCAACACTGCCCCACCCCGACATCACAAGTGCGCCTTCTAAAAGCTAGCATTGTCAATTGCACACCTCAATCGCAGAGGCAAATGTGGGCGTAGCTTGGATTTATCAAGGGGCCTTCAATGGGCCCACACAATTTCAGCCCTTGTACCAACCACAAGCATGTTCCTGGAATCTGCAAGCTGATCGAAATAGCCTTGCAGCACCCCATTCAAGCCATGGTCTGGCACCTCCTATCACGCAGCTTGACTGATAAAGATGTTGCCTTCAATATGTCTTGGCCCCATGACAGCATTTTAACCAAGCAGCCAAAAAAAATTGCAGCAGGCGCTTCCGGCAACCGGATAAAATTTCCATTGAAACCTGGGGGACCCGCGGTCCCTACCGCAGCCGAGGGGCCTCGACTACAAAAAAACAAACACGGGACATTTCCCACAAGCAACCTGAATCGTCCATCCCGTCAAGAGAGCAAGAAAAAAACAATGGTAAAGTGGGTAAAGTGGTTGGTCCTTTTGGGCGTTTTGTTTGGCACCCAGCGCTCACGCTATCGACACGGCATGGCCATTTTGAGCACACAAAAATATTGCAAGACATGAAAAGGTCGATCATAACACGACCTTGGCTTGCACATACACCGCACTGCACTCAAAGCACATCCGCCCTTAACGAGGCAGTGATTTAGATCCCACTTTGCAGTATGTGTGGTGCATCCGGTAACCATGTTTGAAGCCACACACAGGGCCACCAACTACTGAACTTCATCCTTGCAAGAGATAAGCTGGTCAATGCTGCAAGGGTGCACCAAGCCTCAACATCTTTTGTGACATTGGTCAAAAAACATTCACAAGGACAGAGACCGGAACCGGGAACCTGCCACGCAGCAAAATTCCTCTCCACAAGCATGCTTTTCTCACATGCAGGCGCTGACTTCTATGCTGTTCCAATTTAGCGTCAGAAGAAAAACAACAGGGAATGTGGGCACGCCGTCCAAATGCATAAAACGGCCTTTCCCTTGCATAAATGCCGCGCACGACTCACGGCCGTTCCACAGGATGGAGGCGTGGCGCCAACGCGGGCTGGTTGACGCGAAGGCCCAGGTTGTTGGACCTGCCATGCCATTGAAGAGTCCCACGTGGCCTCTCAGATGCTTCTACTCGATTCTGCCAGCACTGCAGTCGGGGTCCTTACAACGCTTAATTCAAGTTCAACATTAACAAAACCGTATAGATTTAAACAACCGTTTTGTCTGTCCAAAAGTATTTAAAAAGAAAAAACATGAAAACCACCCAGATTGAAAACAATGTAATTCCAGAAAACACCAAAACCCAAAAACCCCCAGATTTGGGAAACGTAATTCTAGACCCGAACGATAGAAAGATCTTCTGAGCTATTATTGACTGATTTAAATCTGTTAAATAGATTTTTCCCGAACGCACCGCGAAAGGTTCCTCGCCAAAACACGCTTGCCTTGCACACACCAAAGCACTTACACCGGTCACATACACCACGCCGCAGTCTACACGGGATTTACACAACTCACATACACCACAACATCTACATCGCTGACATACACCACGCCAGAGTCTACCTACACCGCTCACTACTGCCACACCACAGCACATACATCGCTCTCCTACACCTCACCACAGCATTTACAGCATTCGCCGACATGCGGCAGGGCATCTCTTCCATTTTCTCTTACTTCCAAAGCAGGGGTAGGTTTGGCGGGTATCGTCGGGGCGAACCCTCTCCGGGTTTCGTGCGTGTCCGAACGCTCGCTGTGGCGCCATGCGAAATCTCAACGTCGTTTGCTAACCCTCTGCAGGATTCGTGCGTGTCGAATCGTTTTCGCTCTAGAGCCGTGCGAATTTTCAACGTCGTCGACGAGCCCTCTGCGTGTTTCGCCCGTGTCAAAGCGCTCTGTGTTGCGCCGTGCGACTTCTAAAGCTCGCGCACCAACCCTCTGCAGGTTTCGTGTGTGTCGAGACGCTCTCGCAGTGGCGCCGTGCGAATTTTCAACGTCGTCGGCGAACCCTCTGTGGGCTTCGTGCGCGTCGAAACGCTCTCGTTCGCTGTAGGCCGTGCGAACTTTCAACGTGGATTGCGAAGCCTGGGCGGGTTCCGTGCGTGTCGAAACGCTCTCTTTCGGAATCGACGACCTTCTCGTGGATTTGGGTGGGTGACGGCGCTGGCACATGGAGCGTCGTGAGAATTAATGTTCGGAATTGACGACCTTCTCGCTCTGGCGTGTGGAGCGTCCCCAGAATACTTCTCGGAATCAACGATCCTCTCATGGTTTTGGGCGGGCGGCGGCGCAGGCGCGTGGAGCGTCCTCAGGATTCTTGTCGGAATCGACGACCCTCTCGTTGTTTTGGGTGGGTGCCAGCGCTGGCGCGTGGAGCATCTTGAGAATTCTGCTCGGAGTCGACGACCCGCTGTTTTGGGCGGGCGCCGGCGCTGGCGTGTGGAGCGTCTTCAGAATAACTTTTGGAATTGACGACCTTTTTTATGGTTTTGAGCAGATTGCGGCGTGGAGCATCCTCTGAATTTTTTTCGGAATCGACAACCGTCTCGCGTTTTTTGGCGGGCGGCGGCACTGGCGCGTGGAGCGCCCTTAGAATACTTTTCAGAATCGACGACCCCGAGAATTTTGCCGGGTGGCCGCGTGGCGTGTGGAGCGTCCTCGGAATTCTTATCGGCATCTGCCGACAACCCCTCATGGATTTGGGCGCACGGCGGCGCTGGCGCACGGAGGGACCTAAAGCGACGAGCTTCTCGCTGTTTTGGGCAGGCGGCAGCACCCTCTCGTGGTTTTGGGCGGGCGGCGGCACTGGCGCATGGAGCGTCTTCAGACTTCCTTTCGGAATCGACGACCCTTTTGTGGGTTTTGCTTCGTAGCTTTGCACCGTTCCGTTTCATGGCATTTGAAGCTGGCTCGAAGGGGATTTTGTTGGCGGTAGCTTTGTCGCCATAACAGGGAAACTCAGCAGCAGGAGAATATATACTGTCAGGGCTCGGAGGTGTGAGGTTTGGGTAACATGGTCAGGCCCTGGGAAAATCGTGTCGCGCGCTAGCTTTCTTACCACAGCAGCGCAACTCAGCAGCAGAAGGGCTTGGAGGCCTCGTGAGGTTGGGTTGCCTGGTTCAAGCCATGGCCTCCACTTGGCACGAAAAGTGCATTGTGACCCTTGCCAGGTCTACGCAGCAGCGCACCTTGCACGCATTGTGGCCGCAACTGAGTTGGACGCCAGCTTTGCCGTGGGGGCCCGACACCAACAAGCATAGGAATATGGGTCTGACACGAATCTAGCGCACACAAGGCGTAGAACCTGGGTCTTACTAATGCAAGGCACACCAATCGCACAACCTTTACAAATGGTCTGCCAGGCTTACAACCCCTATTATCTTTAGCACATACCCATCAAGGATGGTTTCAGCTCCTTACACGACTTGCAGGCATGTGGGCACAAGTGATAACCTGTGGAGCCTTGGCCTGAGAGGTCTTGTCACATCACTCAGCCACGGAGTTGGTGAGCGTACTCTTCCTGGACGTGCTTGTACCAGGCTGGCATGAAGGCGCAGGCTTCACGAAGTTACGCAGCCGATGAGTCTGTGAATGCAACAGTTGCAAAAAATTACATTGGGCATGATGGGCAGATAATAACAGAAAAACCCGTAACAACCACGCAGGAATGCCGCAGAACTGCTGCTATGGCATACAGCGACACAGGGACGCAGACAACATGGCCCATTCGCGAAGTTAGGACGGACATTGGGCCACGGTTTGTAGGAGAAGAGAGACAGAGGCTGCACTGCATCCATTGGAACACATAACCTCAAATCACGCGAGTTGCCTGTGTGCGTCCACTGTGAAACACAGCAGTGACAGAAGATGGCTCAAGCCTTCTTGCATAGCCTGAGGCACCAACAAATGTAGGACACACTACGCCACACGTCCCCGGACTGCACGCGACGCCACACACATGAAGTGAGCGGCTCACGACAATGACACGCTGTCATCCTGCACACGAGAGACAGCACAACGCTGCACGAACACCCAGAATCAAACTGCTCATCATCCACGCGCCATCAGGTCACGTGGCGGAGATAAAGCAAGGCACAGTCATTGCCGTGCTTTATTCATGTAACAGTGTACTTGCTTCCCAGTGAAATTTTTGCACGGCGGCGTCTACGTGTTACGCGCACCACCAGCACGCAGGTCACATGCACTCCAGTCTAACCTCGCTCCACACGCTGCATTACGCATTATTGTTTTTGCAATCCTAGGCATCAAATGGCACGCGCACACACGTTACCTTAGTGTCGGGCAATGCTTAGAATTGAGCCACCCCTCGCTATCAGACTAGACCTCCTTTATCGAGGCGACATATTCTGCACCGGGCTCAAACGGGCTGTCAGTGAAGCACAAGAAAGTCCGGCATCCTTGCGGGCGCAGCTCGAGAGGCTTGTATTCCACGCAGCAGTAACATGAGCCGCTGGCAGCAGTAGCACGGCAGCGGAGGCAAAGAAAAGCATCCAACATCCCAACTGCACGCACGGCTGGTGTGTAGGGCGTTGAAAATCTGCCGAATCCAAGCGTGGCTGCCTGTCTGCCATCACCTGTGGACAGGTCACAGGCAAACGTGAAGACAAGGTTGCGACGCAATTTTCTTCCAACGAACGAATGCTCAGTGCCTGGCTCTAGTTTTCCCGTGATCTTCACCAAAA